TTTCCCCCCCCCCCCCCCCATGCTTTCCTGCAACTTACACCTTGTTCTCACAAAATACAACCATGAATGGTAGGTATGCTTAGCATAACATTTAGCCAACAAATGGGTTTACAAAATGTGATATGTTTCAATTTGTAAATAGATGCTCATAGATACAGTATTGTTCAAAATAATAGCAGTACAATGTGACTAACCAGAATAATCCAGGTTTTTAGTATATTTTTTATTGCTACATGGCAAACAAGTTACCAGTAGGTGCAGTAGATTCTCAGAAAGCAAACAAGACCCAGCATTCATGATATGCACGCTCTTAAGGCTGTGCAACTGGGCAATTAGTTGAAAGGGGTGTGTTCAAAAAAATAGCAGTGTCTGCCGTTGACTGTACAAACACAAAACTATGTTGTACAAACGTTTTTGTTTCTAGGATTTAGCAATCCTGTGAATCACTAAACTAATATTTAGTTGTATGACCACAGTTTGTTATAACTGCTTCACATCTGTGTGGCATGGAGTCAACCAACTTGTGGCACCTTTCAGCTGTTATTACACTCCATGATTCTTTAACAACATTCCACAATTCATTTACATTTCTTGGTTTTGCTTCAGAAACAGCATTTTTGATATCACCCCACAAGTTCTCGATTGGATTAAGGTCCGGGGATTGGGCTGGCCACTCCATAACATTAATTTTGTTGGTTTGGAACCAACACTTTGCTCGTTTACTAGTGTGTTTGGGGTCATTGTCTTGTTGAAACAACCATTTCAAGGGCATGTCCTCTTCAGCATAAGGCAACATGACCTCTTCAAGTATTTTGACATATGCAAACTGATCCATGATCCCTGGTATGCGATAAATAGGCCCAACACCATAGTAGGAGAAACATGCCCATATCATGATGCTTGCACCACCATGCTTCACTGTCTTCACTGTGTACTGTGGCTTGAATTCAGAGTTTGGGGGTCATCTCACAAACTGTCTGTGGCCCTTGGACCCAAAAAGAACAATTTTACTCTCATCAGTCCACAAAATGTTCCTCCATTTCTCTTTAGGCCAGTTGATGTGTTCTTTGGCAAATTGTAACCTCTTCTGCACATGCCTTTTTTTTCTTGTGGGGTGATATCAAAAATGCTGTTTCTGAAGCAAAACCAAGAAATGTAAATGAATTGTGGAATGTTGTTAAAGAATCATGGAGTGGAATAACAGCTGAAAGGTGCCACAAGTTGGTTGACTCCATGCCACACAGATGTGAAGCAGTTATAAAAAACTGTGGTCATACAACTAAATATTAGTTTAGTGATTCACAGGATTGCTAAATCCTAGAAACAAAAACGTTTGTACAAAATAGTTTTGTGTTTGTACAGTCAACGGCAGACACTGCTATTTTTTTGAACACACCCCTTTCAACTAATTGCCCAATTGCACAGCCTTAAGAGCGTGCATATCATGAATGCTGGGTCTTGTTTGCTTTCTGAGAATCTACTGCACCTACTGGTAACTTGTTTGCCATGTAGCAATAAAAAATATACTAAAAACCTGGATTATTCTGGTTAGTCACATTGTTCTGCTATTATTTTGAACAATAATGTATAAAACCAGAAAAGAGTATCTTCATTTTTTTTATTTGATGCACTAAAAGTCACAAAATAATAAATATGTCTGGACATATCTAACACTTCACGCTGATTATTTCAGGGATTGTTAGTGTAAATAGAGTGATGATCTGACTTAGGTTTCATAACACTAACTTCTGTGATAACAGAGAATGGGTCTGTGCTACAACTGTCCCTGTGGGACTTTCAACCCAGATCTCCCCTACACGGACCATTAGGCGTCATGATAAGCATCACGCCTCTAGTACCACGATTCTGGCAGCTGTGTAAAATGTACACAGGAGCGACGATTTCTTGGCTTTTGTAAGTTCAGTGTAAAAGAGGCTTAATCAAAAAAGCTGTGCTGAAGAAAGATTGCAATAGTGGCGGTTTTTGTGATCTCTGTGCAAAAGGGGCTACTGTTAAGACGGAAGCCCCTCAGTGGATGTCTGAGACTAATAACTACAACCTACAGTTTCTGTCTGCCAGAAGGTGTCGACAATGGGACATCTCTTCTCTCCCACCACAGTGTAGTACCACTGCCAGGCCTCAGGGTTGATGGGCTCTCCCACTGTCCCCAAAATCTTCAGAGACTCTCGCTTATACCTGCAGAGAAAGGTAGGTTAATGCTTTACCACAGAAACAATTAAAATGTCTCCCTCCATGCACCAATGAGATGGAACATTACTTTCCTCCTCAGTTTTCTAGGTACTGTTACAAGTGTTTAACATGATTTTACTTTATGTTCATTTCCTAAAAACAGTATAAATCATGCAAACAGTATTAGCAACTACTGAAGTGGAAACATTTGGAAGAGCTCGACTCACTTCTGCACCGGCCCGCTGCCATACTTCATCAGCAACCTGATGGCAGTTGGAGCTGTGTAGAACTTCGTCACATGATATTTGTCCACAATTTCCCACATGCGGCTCACATCTGGGTAGGTGGGCAGGCCCTCAAACTGAAATGCACACAAACAAAAAGTGAATAGAAAACAAAGATACATCACAAACTTTTAATAAATGTTTCTGAAACAGGAGGAAATACTGCATTTGTTGGGAACTATTTTCAGCAGCAGATAAAACCACATTTAGTGCCTCAGTGAGTACTTGTGGCAGCATGATTTGTGTGTGGGACTGAGTCACACTAGTGTTTGTGCTCATGGCAATGAAGGAACATGCCACCAGTATTGGGAAGTAGTGAACTATATGCAATTAAACTACTAGCTTAACTACAGTTTGCAGTAACTTTGTGGTAGACATTCATAGTTGGTTAGTGACTGAAGCAGTTAAATTGCTTTTGTGCCATTTTTTGTGTAGTTAACTACTGCAACTACAAATAGTTTTGGCCCATAAAAGGAAAGGACTCTTTTTTTATTTTTATTTTACCATGGCTTCTCTGACCCTAACCACCATTTGGTTAAGAACATTGAGAGACTTCTCATGTGTCATGTGCACAAGAGGTTCTGCTCTAAGAAGTAGCAGTAAAATATGGGCCCATTTAGACTAATGTTCTTATGGTCTAAAAGGTTCAACACTGTTTTAGTTGTTAGGTTTGATAATACAAAATCCAAATTTGTTTAGAGTAGGTACTTTATTGATCCCACAATGGGGAAATTTCTGAAATTTACAAGACGTTTACAAGTTTACAAGAAATATATATTATTGTGAAAACCCCAGATGGGACTGTTTAGTTTAGGACAATTTGTTATTTTTGTCTCATGTAAATAAACTCAACTGAGTGGTATTTTTTTGCTGGCACATGAGTTTTCTTTTTTGATGTTGTAGTTTTGTATACTAAACTACATGTCTCTTTAGAGTAGTTTTGCTGTAGTTTAACTTCTTCCTTTGTGAAGTAATTGATAGTTTGCAAAGCTACATTTTCTAAGTAGTCTCCCCAACACTGCATGCCACATGTTCTGTTTTTTGTTTTACACAAAAGCTGAAAATGGTTCCAGGAAACACATGTGCTGACAAAAAATAATGTTCAGCTGACTCTGTGACTGTTACTGTAGGAAAATAAAAGTATTCCAACAATCTGTTATTGCAGAGCTTGAAAATATTTGGCATATGGTTTAAATATATGACATTTATATTGTACCTCTCCTTTGTGTTTTCTGTCATGTAAAACGCATTTGCCTTAACTCTGGTTTAATTTAAGGTTATGGAGCCAGTCAACTTGTTTCATCACTGCTGCTTCCTTGGCCAATGAAGTTCATCATTACTGACTTCAACTAAGGAAGCCAAAGCTTTAATAAGAGGCTGTGGTCTTAGCTCATGTTTAGGTATGAATAAGGGTGAATATTGTAATGACTGCATGTCTGCTGAGCCTGTAAAAGTAAAACCTACATGAGCTGAGGACAGCTCACAAGGCAGCAGCCGACCTCCTGCTAGCTATATGTATTATAGCTTTCCATCCATCCATTATCTATACTGCTTATTCTTGAATAGGACCACAGGGGCCTGGAGCCAATCCCAGCTGACATTGGGTGAAAGGCGGGGTACACCCTGGACAGGTCACCAGTCTATCACAGAGCTGACATGTAGACAAACCACACACACTCACACTCACTCTGACAGGCAATTTAGAGTCACCATTCAACCTAAGCTGCATGTCTTTGGATTGTGGGAGGAGAGAACCCACGCATGCACAGGGAGAACATGCAAACTCTGCACAGAAAGGTCAGGGGGCAGCCCAGACTCAAATCCAGAACCTTCTTGCTAACCACCGCTGCTCTGGCCTTGTATTGTAGCTTTTTAATGGGCAAATTGATTTAGCAGGAAGAGGGGGACTCTTTGAAGGACTCAAGTCGAAGGTGACTCTTCAACTTGATGACTGGATCTTTTTTTTCACTGATTTTTTTTAAACAGCAAAATTGGTTTCCAGGTGAGGAGTACAGTACTACTATATACAGAGTCACTGCCACTTGGGAGTGAAGACTACAAGTTAGAAAATTACAAAAAAAATCAGATCTGTGTATGTGGGATTACATAGAAGGGTGTTTACCACACCTCTGTAGCTCTGCTTTTGGCTACAGGCTTAAATCTACGTTATCAACTACTAACATAACACTTAGTCCAAAAAAAGATCAAAGGCACTCTTTTGAAAAATTAAAAAGCCTTTATTCAGATGGCCAACATGTAGAGGATTAAGAGGGTGGTTACAGCCCAAGTGTAGTGACAAAAAACTGCCTTCATCGGGCTGTAACCTGTAGTGCATCCTTTATCTCCTCTAATCCTGTAGAAATAGAGAGGGAGGACAGCTACAGCACATTAACAAAGTAAAATCTACATAAAGGCTATTTCATAACTTGAGAGGTGGATAAATGGATTTTACATGTTAGCCTCCACTACACCTCTAAATGTGG